CAGGTTATGCTGATCTATCTCTATAGTTATGCTGCTATAGGCATAGACTGCTGGAGGACATAGGGACCCCTTTTTCATCATTCTGCTTCATTCTATCTCTATCTTCCCACTCTGCAGAATCTATTAATTCAATCTCTAACGTTCTGCTCTCTCTGTTTTTTCTCATTCACTGTGACTAACTGCATGTCCTCTTTTTCATCCTCTGATATGGGAGCTGGCTCTGGGCTCGTCTGCCTGGTTGTGTGTTTCCTGGACGTTCTGCCTATTGAGCTGGTTTACAGTTGCCTTTTGTATCTCTCCTGCTTTTTCTATTTTGAAAAGGTCTAAATGTTAAATCTAACCATGGTCAGAAGTGTTCCGGACGTGGCCTTTCCTTTGGGTTTAGGTATTTGATCAAGATTAAAGCATTGCATCTCACACTAAAATACCCCAGATTTTAGAGACTAGAAACAGAGTCATAGTCATTTTAGAGAGTGAGATAACTAGAATCTGGCTTGTGAATCGTCTTCCTCTCACTCTGGCACAGCTCTCTCCTTGCAGCTTGCTGAGATTTCTAACAGCAGCAGCTACAGCAGCCACAGAAAGAGTCAACACATTTTTACAGCAGTGTAAAGCTAACCTTTTCTGTAGCTTAGTAACAAGCCAAGGCAGTTTAAATGTACCTTAAAATGCTCTCACACATGACAGCTTACTGGAACACAGCAGGGGCTGGCTGTGACACCTCGATGGTCCGCTCTCATCAGATTTCAACCATGGCTTCGTTTCTGCTGCCAAACGTTTTACATTAAATATAAATTCAATGGTACTGATAGATTTCACGTAACAGATTTAACAACTTTTTAAATAATACTCTGATATTTTTCAATCCCTTCAACTGAAAAAAATGACACAAACTTGAACTGTGGCGAAACAATTTCCTTTTTTTTCAAAATAAAAGGAAACTCACTCCATTATACAAGGACAGAACTGGCTGGCAGACCTTTATTAATGGTCAGCTGTAGGAAAAGTCCACAATAGCATCACTGTCTGATGTTCTGCTTTATAAAAATCCTCCTCCCACAGATAACCTTTGCATTGTTAAAGCCACAGCAAGGGCTTTTATCACATAGTGAAAGGAAGATCTGTTTAATTTCATCCCACCTCAAGGCAATGTTTTAATCACAAAAAAAGGGAAATGCTTCTGAAGAAATTTGCAACAGTATGAATAAATGTTTCCTATGTGTGCATCTGCAGTGTTTCACTTCTGTCACCCTCACAGAAACATGATAAGTCCAAACAGCTCATGCATCAAAGATCAGGACATCATGAAAGAAGCATCCGATGCAAATCTAATTGTTTTAAAATTTAAACATTGTTACAACTCTTGTGTGAAAGTCAAGATGAGGGCACATGCAAACCTATACATCAATAACGCCCTCTTGTGGTCAAAGTATTTACTGGAGTTATTTAAACTGACCAAACTGAAAAACTGTCCGTACGATTCCTTTTTTTTTGATACTTTAAAACCAAAAACTAATGTTTTTTTTTTTTTTTTACTAGAAACTGATGACTGAAACATACTTTTTTAAACTGGGAACCACCCCCACCCCCCACCCCATTAATAAATGCAAGATTGTAGATTATTGTTACCGTGTCCGCAAACAATGTACTTTGTTGAATGGAAAGAGTGATTGTTCTATGACTGAGGATGGGTGTTGTAAACAGGCGGATTTAGCAAATTTGGGGCCCTAGGCAAAGACAGGCAGGGGCCCCTCTGAATTGAGAAGACAACACATAAAACAGAACCATTATACAGATAGAGAAATGTTGATGATAATAGACATCCATTATCTGTTCTAGGTT